AGCGGCGTGAATTGCCGCACGCACTCCCCCGCGCCGAGGCACGACAGCACGCGCCGCTCACTCTCAAAGAGGTTCCCGACGTACGGGTAGTCTATCACGCGCCCCGGCTTCGAGCGGTGCGGCTGCGGCTGCTGCAGCTTCGCCACTCCACTCATGATGTCGCGGGCGTGCTGCACACCGACGGCGAGCGCACACGTTGCGTACATGCGGAGCGCGACGGACTCCACCAGCAGCGGCTGCTGCTCCGCGGCGGTGCCGACGACGAAGGAGCTCAGTGCGTCCACAGCGAATCGGGCGCAAGCGAGCTCCGAGATCCGCTTCTGCACCGCCGGGTTACGAACTAACAGGGCGTCATAGCGCGCAGTGTTCGTGGCGTGCAGAGCGCATATCTCCTCCAGCTTGCCGAGGACGCCGCTACACGCAGCAGCAGCAAGAACGTTCTGCTCCGCCGCACTGGGCGAGACGGCGCAGTTGGGGTCGCTCACGCCCACGGTGGCCAGCCACGCGCTGCATGGCGTCGTCATCGCCGTGGCCTTGACGGCCTCACTTTTTGCCAGCAACGCATGTCGCGCTGTTTCCGTGGCCGACTTGCTGCTGTCAGTGGCGGCGCTATCGGCACTACTGGTGTTGCTGCTGCTGCCGCTGCTGCCGCGGATTCCAACTGCCTCCGCCTCCGGTTTGCCAGCGGTGAAGTGTTGGAGCAGCAGCATGTCCGCCAGCCGCCCCTGCTGCAGGAGCGTCGCCACGAAGTCCACGCGGCTGCGGCACAACAGCACACGACGCATTTTGCCTCACACGAGCAAAGCGTGCAACAACAAGATGTCGAAGTAATATAAATATATATATATATATATATATATATTTATTCAGTGCGTGGAGTCTTCCCACTTGCTTCGTAAATGTGCCCGCTGTATTTTCTGCAAGGGCCGACTCACGTCCTCTCTGTTTCTCTCTCTCCCCTCTCACTCTGCTACCTTTCACAAAGGGCATTCAAAAAAACAGGGGAGGCGGGGAAAGGTGACGGAACAACAGCAAGGGGGATGCCACTGTTGGGGCGGCATGCCACCGTTTATATCAGCCGTGCGTTACACCAAGAATGATCATATTCCGGTCAATCAAAGTGAGAAGCAAAAATATATATTCAAACTAACAGTATTCCTCCTATTTGGCAGAACCAACTTGGCATTGGGGTCGAGACTGTGGCACACACAAGCGGCCACGGTTATGTTTTCCTTCCTTCCCCGTATTGGCGTTTTGCGGGTCGTGTCAGGGCGCCCCGCCTGGAGTTACGTGCGTCCTGCCGCGTGAATAGGCGAACTGGCGTTGTGTATTTCATTACCAACCATGTCCTCATCGCTGCTCCCTTTTTTTTTTGTTTTTTTTACCTCCGCCACTGATATTTCTCCATCCTCAGATATCATCCATCAGATTTAGCTTCACTTTACCATCGGTTGTGTTGTCAAAGGCGGGCTTTCCAAGAGACGGGCACGTAGCACAGCGGAAGGCGTCGCCCTTCGCGCAGTTGCCGCAGCCGCCTTGGGGTATTTCCTGAAGCTGCTGCTGCGCGGCGGCCTCCATCTTCTGCTCCAACTCAGCGCGGCCGCAGGCGCAGTTCTTGCATGCACGCCGCCGTGTTGTGCAGTCCTCACCTTTCGTGGCCGCCTTCGTGGCGCGGTCCTCCTCCGTGAGCAGTGCGTCCTCGTCGATTGGCTGCCGCGTCTTGAGGCTGAACGCCTGAGCTGTGAAGGCAGACATTACACGCTTCTTTTCTTCCCTTTTCTCCTTGTGTTTTTCTCTCACTNTGAGGCTGAACGCCTGAGCTGTGAAGGCAGACATTACACGCTTCTTTTCTTCCCTTTTCTCCTTGTGTTTTTCTCTCACTTCCCTTCCTTGTTGCTAGAGTCAGGATGTGCGCAGCACAGGGTGTTCCTTCCGGTACACCAAGAGAGGGCGGTGAGGGAGAAACGCGGGAGAATGCACACAGACAGCCGGAACAAAACTACCAGGCGCGCACCCACGCATGCATGTGTGTACATGGGTCCGTGCCGACGTGTCTCCCCCGCGATACGGAGCGGGCCTCCACGCATACGCACACAACGGACAACTCCCCGCCCCTCGCCCGCCCAGTCAGGCTCCCGCGGGCAGCAGGAGCAGCAGCAGCAGCAGAATGGGCGGCGGCAGAGTGCACGGGGGTGGCGTTACATGACGGATGGCGGTGACCGGCTGGAGACGCAGCCAGTCAACCCACTCTCCCGTTTATGAAGCACCTCAGTGGCTTCAAAAAACCCTTTGGAGTTTCCTTTCTTCTTGTTCGTTTTATTCGGCTAACTTCACTTTCCCTTTCATGGCTTTGGCGGTTTTCTTTCTTTCTTTTGTTGTTGACTTCATGCTCGTGCTTATGTGCGTGTGTGTGTGACCCACACTGCATTGTTGGCCTTGTATCTCTTTTCCTGTGCTTTGCTTCCTTCACGCTTTGCACCAGCTTGCCTTTATCCCTACGACTCCCTGTGCGACCGGCATTCATGTTGACCAATACATACACACAAACACATGGACACACAAATTGCAAAACGAACGTAGCGCTTTTTCTCAGTCAGCCTTCTTTGGTTAGAATAATTAGGGGTATTGCTACAGCAGCTGCTGCTCATGATAGTGATGATGATGATGGTTATAGTGATGATGGCTTCCGAAGAGAGCAGAAATGGCTAAACGCGTCGAAGTCGAAGCAGCAGCAGAAGCAGAAGCCGCACCGGCTACAGGGAAGGAAAACAAGAACCTCATGTTGTGATGTTCTGCGTGGCGCATTCATATGTCTTTCGACGCAGGTGGCTGTGAGGGGATAGTGGGAGTGGCAGAAAGCTGAGGCCACAGCAGAACAGCAACGCCGTCAAGTCTCATTATACTCCAAATGGCGCTGCTTCTAAGGAAGCAGCAACGCCACTCCCATCCGCGTCTTCCGTTGTCCTTCCTTACTCCCCCTACCACCACATTTTCTTCGTTACGCGAAGAAACCAAAAATGAAGCTAGACGATGTGCGTGCTTACCGAGAAGCCGCACCGAGCTGCTGCAGTTCTCACTGCGCCCCCCTCTGCCCGCCCGGCAGACTCATGCGCACCTCTGGCCCTAACGAAATGCCGTCGGCGAAGTCGAGCACGCCGACCTCCATGCCCTCTGCGAAGTGGTACGGCGCTGTTTGGATGCTTGGGCGGCTGTAGTACCATTGTGGGCGGCTGCAGCTCCCGTCGTGGCCGATGTCCACGTCGCCCTCGCCGTGACCCGCGCTGTCGGCGGGCGCCGGCACCATGCGCACGCGCCGCTGAATCACGCCGCAGAATTTGTACAGGTCAACGATCATCTCGGCGCAGCTGATCTCCGTGCCCCGTCGGCGGGCGCCGGTCCACTCGTAAAGTCGCGGGTGAATGAAGCTCGTCATCAGCAGCGGGCTCTTGTCCAACGGGCGGCCGACATTTTCGTTGATGAACGTGCGCAGCAGGCGCTTCCGCTGCGGCGTCCACTCAAAGCCCTTCAGCCGGCGCACTGCAAAGCGGCTGTAGCACCACCGCTCCCCGTCACGCCCAAAGAGGCGGCGGTTCGCCTCCAGCACCTGCACGCACTCGTGGCGCACTTTGCCGTTTACGTCCGCCGCGTTCACGTCGACGTTGTCGACTACCTCCATTATGATGGCACCGCGCTTCTGCTTCCGCTGCAGCATCGACCGCTCGTCGCGCAGAATGTCAGCGATTGTGGTGGACGCGGCTGCTGTTGACGACGACGACGATGATGATGATGATGACAACGGCGTGACAGCGGCGTAGCCGTACTCCGCCTTCTCGACGGTGGCGGTTGTGGAGGACATGGGGCGCAGTGGCCACCGCTCGAGCTGCGCCGGTTCCACCACGACGGCGACGTGTGAGTAGCGCAGCGCGGCGGGCTGCATGAGACTGTACACGAACTGTGCCGTCGTGATCTTCCAGCTGGTAACGCCGGTGCCCATCATGAGCACGATGTCGCCCTCGCGCAGCGTCCGCTCCACCTGCGACCACTCCTCCAGAGGATAGTCCTCGTGCGGCTGGAAGAGCGCCGCGACGGCCTGCGCCTGCTGCAGCCCCACCAGGATGCAGAGCGTCACGTAGCCACCAAAGCCGAGCAGCGTACCGGCGCCGACCGTCACGCACTGGCGCGTGAAGCTCTGCGCACGTAGCCGCCGCCACGCCCCGCGCAGTGGGGACCATACAACGCGCATGGACGCGCGGCGTTTGCCCCTGCAGCGGCCAAAACTCAACGCTGCACCGGTGCTAAGGGAGCGAATGTAGCTGCTGCTGCCAATGTGCTGGCGCTGCCCGGTGAAGGCCGCAGCCCGCCTCGCCACGTACATGGCTAATAAACACACACTCCCTCTCTCCCACACACTAGAGTTCTCTACCGTCCTCTCTCACCCGCTGCACAGGAGGCGGCAGAATGAGCAGCTGCAGGCACCAGGAGCGTGCCAGACGGTTAGAAACGATGCAAGAAAAAGCACACAAGAAAGAGACAGTGCATCATACCGAAACAAACCACTGCCACCCCAGCACGCGTGTTGTGTTCCCCATTCCCGCCCCCGTTTTTTTTTTGTTTTGCGCGTTAGCCCCGCTGCCCCCGTTGCCATTGGCGATGCCACGCGGCGCTGGGACAGAACAATTCGGACATGCACGGAGCACGGAAAAAAACCGACAGACAGAAGAACCAACAAAAAACAAAACAAAAACACGCAACGAATCGCAAAACAACAACAAAAACAAAAAAGATGAACGATCGACTGCAATTGCTTGTTTGTTGGACGCAGACAGTGCTGCCGGACACAATCACAAGTACACAACACCCCAACCCACGTGGAGACTACTGAAGCAAAGAAGAAGAAAAAAAAAAAAAGGAAAACCGAACCAAGAACAAAAACAAAAAACAAAA